TCACATGCCGACAAATTTGTTGGTGGAGTCAGTTAACATACTATTGACATTTACGTGACATTTACGTGATGGTTTCATTTTTCACAAAACCTCAGATAAAAATATCTGGTTTGTTGCTATTGTCTGTAAGTGTTGTTCTTCTGGAGTCAACTTTTATTAAATTACACTTTTGATATTATTAACTGCTTTTTGTAAATTCTGAACAGTAACCAATATTTCATGATTGACAGGTCAGTTGTAGCTCCACTGTGTGGTTGTCCATCATTGGCATCCACATCAACTTTTACTTTTTCAACTTCTTGAAAACTGCAAGTCCAATTGCTTTGATAGTATACATATAGGTACTACAGGTAGACCTATCTCAGATTTGTTTATTTTCTAATGACAGTGGAGCTCTCTCAGCCAAGAGGATGCTTGTTTGTCTTTGTTATTGTTTTTGATGGAGGTTTTGTTATATCATTTCACAAGATAATTTCAATTGAGTATTATATTTTCTTTTTGAATATTTTTTGCTTATGTGACTGACTAGTAGCTTCACAAGTGTTATAGTTTGGCTATAGAGGGCGCCCTGTCACTAACTCTGCCTTACCACATATAGTATTCAGAGGCATGGGGGAACCAGAATTGTAACATGGCAGGAGTTTTATTAGGATTATTTTTAAGTGAAATTATTAATAGAAAGCATTTAGTATGAATCACCGGAATCACGTATATTCGGCCTTGACCCCATTCTGTTTATTGTGGTAATTTGAAGACTGTACATGCTTTTAATCGTACTAAACTAAAAATTAAAAATTGAAGCGAGAGTGTCGTCACCAGCGCACGTGCGGGAATTAAGTCCTGAAAACGCAAAGGCTCAGGGTAGACATTTGTAAACAATGACACGCTATGGCCATCTGACGCATGCAGGTGACGACTCTCCCGCTTTAAAAGTATTTATGAAAGCAAAGCCAACTGATAGACGACTGAAAACCAGCTCTGTCTTTACCAATTATTATTTATTAATTTTTCATTATTTTAAACCAAAATGAATATTTATTTATTTGTTGTAGTTACATTTGGCGGCACTAGCATCCTTAAAAGGTGAGATTATCGAGTTGACAAACAGACTGTCCCATGTGACTACAGAGAGAGACTCATTGGATAGAAAGCTTGCTAAAGCCCAGGTAAGTGATTGGTTGATATAAGGTCACATGTTATTATTTGTAGCTCCACGAAAAAACTTCCCAATGGAGAGTGAGATGTGCTTATAGTTGATAAAATATCTTGAATATATAGTGTAAGGGGTGTTGATAGTTGATAGAATATCTTGAATATATAGAGTGAGGGGTGTTGATAGAATATCTTGAATATATAGTGTGAGAGGTGTTAATAGTTGATGGAATATCTTGAATATATAGTGTGAGGGGTGTTGATAGTTGATGGAATATCTTGAATATATAGTGTGAGGGGTGTTGATAGTTGATGGAATATCTTGAATATATAGTGTGAGAGGTGTTGATAGTTGATAGAATATCTTGAATATATAGTGTGAGGGGTGTTGATAGTTGATAGAATATTTTGAATATATAGTGTGAGGGGTGTTGATAGTTGATGGAATATCTTGAATATATAGTGTGAGGGGTGTTAATAGTTGATAGAATATCTTGAATATATAGTGTGAGGGGTGTTGATAGTTGATAGAATATATAGTGTGAGGGGTGTTGATAGTTGATAGAATATATAGTGTGAGGGGTGTTGATAGTTGATAGAATATCTTGAATATATAGTGTGAGGGGTGTTGATAGTTGATGGAATATCTTGAATATATAGTGTGAGAGGGTGTTGATAGTTGATAGAATATCTTGAATATATAGTGTGAGGGGTGTTGATAGTTGATGGAATATTTTGAATATATAGTGTGAGGGGTGTTGATAGTTGATAGAATATCTTGAATATATAGTGTGAGGGGTGTTGATAGTTGATGGAATGTCTTGAATATATAGTGTGAGGGGTGTTGATAGTTGATAGAATATCTTGAATATATAGTGTAAGGGGTGTTGATAGTTGATGGAATATCTTGAATATATAGAGTGAGGGGTGTTGATAGAATATCTTGAATATATAGTGTGAGAGGTGTTGATAGTTGATGGAATATCTTGAATATATAGTGTGAGGGGTGTTGATAGTTGATAGAATATCTTGAATATATAGTGTGAGGGGTGTTGATAGTTGATGGAATGTCTTGAATATATAGTGTGAGGGGTGTTGATAGTTGATGGAATATCTTGAATATATAGTGTGAGGGGTGTTGATAGTTGATGGAA